GGGGCAGCCCCTGAAAAGGAGACTTGACGGGGACCTGCGGTGGGCGGCACCTGTGTAGGTGCGCGGAGGCCTGGGACTAGCCCGGAGCTGGAGGCTCCAAAATAGGGCTGATCGCTCTCGACAGAATTCCTGCCTCCCTTCTCGGACTGGGCTTAGTAAAGGTCCGCAGGCCAGAGGCTGCTGAGAAGCAGGCGTCTTCATGGCAGCATGCTCTGGTCAGACAAGTCCTGCAGGCTGCCACCACCGCCGGGTCTGGTCCTTAGGCCTCGAAGGAAGGAAGGTGGGAGGCAGGCGAGCGAGACTGGGAGATGGGAGAAGAGGAGGAGGTCAACCAGCAAAGGAGTGCCCCCCCAAGCCTGAATCTCTGGAACCCACGTGACGGACGGGAGGAGAGAATCGACCCCCAAAAACTGCCCTCTGACCTCCACCCTTACACACACGAAGCAAAGAAATTATGTAAAAAGATGTTTTAATTGAAAAAAATAATTTATTGCTGGGCGGTGGTGGAACACGCCTTTAATCCTAGCACTTGGGAGGCAGAGGCTGCTACACAGTGAAACTCTATCTCGAAAAACAGACAAAATTTGTTGTTAAGTCAGTGGTGATGAATGCTTTTAGTCTGAACACTCAGGAGGCAGAGGCAGACGGGTCTCTGTGAGTTTGGCCGAGTTCCAGAACAGCCAGGACTACACAAAGAAAACCTGTCTCAAACACACACACACACACACACACACACACACAAACACACACACTCCTGTGGATCACGGTTCTGTGAGGAGGGCATGCTTTGCAGAGAAACATGAGCTGTCAGCCTTCTTCTGCCAGGGTATGGCCTAAGGAATGTCCCTCTGCCCTGTCTTCTGTCATCTCATCTGTTTTCACTCCTCTCCCCCGTCCCATGAGGCCTCTCTCTCCCCAGACATTCATCTCCTAAATAGACCAGATGCCATCCCCAGATTAATCTTCCAAAAACACCAGCTCCCTGCTCCCTCCATGGACCAGCCAGACCCGCCCTGTTCTCTTGAGGCCTGTGAAACAGGGCAGCACCATGGGGGAACAGGGGAGCACCTCAGGGTCTGGGTGTGAATTCTGGCACTCCAAGCCTTCTCTCCTTCGTAAAGACACATCACCTTAAGTTTGGGTGTCGAGGGTGGAGAACGAGACTTAAGGGGCGCCTTGGTTGGGGTGCCACTCAACAATGGAGCTCAAGGTGACTGAGCTGGGGGATCCAGGTTTGATCCCAGAAAGGAAACATAAAAATGGTACCTGGCGTCATGAACTTTTTTTTTAAGACTCACTTGTTTTGTTTTATGTGTGTTTTACCTGCAGGGACTTATGTGTCTGGTGCCCTCGGAGAAAAGGGCATCAGATCACCTGACACTGGAGTTACAGACAGCTGTGAACCACCGTGTGGGTGCTGGGAGTCAAATCTGGGTCCTCTGCGAGTGCTCTTGACCAGAGAGCCATCTCTCCCCACCCCCTACACACACCTTTTAAAAGTTCTTTTGTGAGGTAGGGTCTCACTATGAAGCCCTGGCTGGCCTGGAATTTGCTCTGTAGATCAGCCTGGCCTCAAACGCAGAGATCAGCCTGCCTCTGCCTCTGGAGTGCAGGGATTAAATCATGCTCCACCATGCCTGGCTTGTCATGAACTCTTACGTGTTAGCTAGTACTATTCTAAAAACCGAATTACGTGTGTGTGTGTGTGTGTGTGTGTGTGTGTGTGTGTGTGTGCATGTGTCTTTCTGTCTGTGCATGTGTCTGTCTGGGTTGTGTGCTTGTGTGTCTGTATGGATATGTGTACATGTATGTGTGTCTGTGTGTGTGTGCATGGATGTGTATACATGTATGTGTGTCTCTGTATGTGTGCATGCATGGATATGTGTACATGTATATGTGTGTGTGCATGGATATATATACATATATGTGTGTCTGTGTGTGTGCATGGATGTGTATACATGTATGTGTGTCTGTGTGTGTGCATGCGTGTATATGTGTACATGTATATGTGTGTGTGCATGGATATATATACATATATGTGTGTCTGTGTGTGTGCATGGATATGAGTACATGTATGTGTGTCTGTGTGTGTGCATGGATATGTGTGTCTCTGTGTGTGCATGGATATGTGTACATGTATGTGTGTCTCTGTGTGTGTGCATGCCACAGCACATGTATGGTGAGGGGACAGCTGCAGGGTTACATTGTCTCCTTCTACTTTGTGAGTCCTGGGACTGGAACCCAGGCATTAGGCTTGGTGACAAGGACCTTCCCCCTGAGCCATCTCACCACCCAGCATTATTTCTTTCTTTCTTTTTTTCGGTTTTTCGAGACAGGGTTTCTCTCTGGCTTTGGAGGCTATCCTGGAACTCGCTCTTGTAGACCAGGCTGACCTCGAACTCACAGAGATCCACCTGCCTCTGCCTCCCGAGTGCTGGGATTAAAGGCGTGCGCCAGGAACGCATTATTCTATTCCTATTCCACAGTCCCAGAGAAGAAGGATTTTGTTTCATTCGCCAGCTTCAGTGGCTGGAAAAGCACCAGTCACATAAGAGAGGCTCAGTAAACGTGTGGAATTTCTCCATTCCCTGATCTGTTCAGGGCAACTGCTTCCCTATCACACGCAAGTACTCAAGTGTGTGCTGGTGTGCAACACACACCTTTTCTCTTGCAGCTCTTATCTCTTAAAGGGCCAGCTCCCTTCAGTTCCCACCGGAGCCTTCATTTCCAGCTCCAGCCTCCCCTTCCTCTCCCAGCCTCAGAAAGAACCAGCACCGAAACTCACACCGTGGCTTGCGGCCAGCCGGGAGTTTTGATGCTTTCTCAGCTTCCCCTGTGACTTGGCACTTTGTGCTCACCACCTCTGGGGCCAGCCGAGGGGGATGCTGTGAAGTGTCATTCCAGCTACTCAGACAGCCCTCTTTCGTGTGGTTTCTGACGCGAGGAAAGGGCTTCCCAGGTGAGGCCGTTGGAATAGCTAAACACAAGAGACACCGTGTGGTCTCGAAGCCGTTTTCCAGCTCCCTGGCTGCGAGATGAAAGGCAGGCAAGCGTCTACCCAGGAAATCCGAGCCAGGCAGCTCCGTGTAGCAGGCGTCTTTCCCACCCTGGCTGCGCGACAGCTGCCTACAACCCAGCTGTTGACACACTAAAAAAAGAAATTCCATGGTGACCAGTTGACTCTAGCCAGTGCCTGATGGTAGGCAGTAGTTTGAAAATAATCCCTAATGACAGCCGAAGCTCCGCAGCCCAGTTTGCAACAAAAACAGAAACTGGTGAAACTCAAGCTGCAGTGTTTAGAGGCCGGGGATGCTCAGCTGGCAGGAGCCGGGGAGGGTTGTCATCCAGGGTCACCAGGATGGCAGCCCCTCCAGGCTGCCTAGTGCTTACGGACACCCACACCCTGGGACAGCAAGTTCATGCTAGTCAGAGGGCAGCGGTTTTGGAAGGCTGAGGTGGCAGAGGACAGAAAACTGCCAGCCACGGGCACCAGTGCTGCGCCAGGCTCTGAGTGGGTTCCTCCCCTGGCTCCCTGTCCACAGCAGGCTTCCTTCCTGCCCTCTCGCCGTACACGGGTCCTGTGAGGGTGGCCACAGTCGCCTACCATTGGACAGGTGTGGAAACTGAGCTGGGAGTGGTCAGTGTCCTGCCTGATCCGTAGAAAACGCTTGGGCTGTTTGGGCAAGCTCTCCCACAGCCCAGACCTGGGAGCTGAACGGGACGCAGTAAGGCCCTTGCTTTCCCATTCGGGTTCCAAGTATAGGACCCCCCCTCCTCTGGGACACATGGCCCTGTCTCTCAGCAAGCCTATCTGCATGGACTTTGCCCTCTGCCCTTTGGACCCAGCAGAAAGACTGGCTGATAAGGGGCCATTGCCCAGGTTTATAGTTTCCTCCCCGCCTCTCTGGCGACACCTGAGCCCACTGACCCCACCCCTACCCCACAGGCACACTCATCAGCAGTCAGTCACAGGGCCACATCCCTACAGCCAGTCACCTGCACAACCACACACACACACACACACACACACACACACACACAGAGTTACATCACTTTTACCGAGACTTAGTCACGAGGGCACGCCTCACACACTGCCAGCTACAGGAACAGTCACACATTACACTGTAGTCTTAAACACAGGCATGCTGTCACACCTTACATGCATGCACTTGAGAGCGCCCACACGCATGCGCACGTGTGCATTCGCCGCTGTGACGGTGAATGGGGGAGGACCTATGGAGGACTACAGAGATTCACCGTCTAGGGCAAGGGGTGATGTAAGAGATAATGCCTTTGCCCCCTTGGTCTTGAAAGCCTGGTGACCTGAGTTCAATGCCCGAACCCACACAAAGTAGAGCGAGAGAATCACCTCCACAGACCTGGCTCTCCATCTTCTCAGATCCATCTCTATTTCATGCGCATACGTGTGTGTGTGTGTGTGTGTGTGTGTGTGCAGTTACAGTAAGTGCTGGGGATCGAACTCTGGTCCTCTAGAGGAGTCGCAAGAGCACGGCCGTCCGTCCAGCACCTTGTTCGTAGCTAACAAATGAGCCTGTCCTGGCTGGGATAGCACGTCGAGCGTTAGAGTGCACGGGGACCTGGGATCCATCACCAGCACAAAGCAGGTGTGGTGGTTTCTGGCCTGGACTGGAAATTAGCACTTGGGAGGTGAAGGCAGGAGCATTTAAAAGCGCAAGGCTGCTTGGTGTATGTGTGTGGGGGGGGATGCACACCCTTAAGCCCAGCACTCAGGAAGCAGAGATGGGCAGAAAGATCTTTCTACATAGTGAGACTCAGGATAGCCAGGGCTACATAGAGAGACCCTCTCAAAAAACAAAAAACAAAACAAAAAAAAAAAGAATGCAAGAAAAAAGTTTAAGATCAGCTTGGATTTTAGACCCTGTCTCAAAAACAAATCATAAAAGAAACAAAATCAAACAATTAATGAAACAAAGCAATGAAATAAAACAGCTGTTTTTGAAGGACTTTTTGGTCTGTACCTTGCTTGCCTGGAGTTGCTACCTGCTGCCACCTTGTGGGCGGGGTCGGAACTGCATACTGTGCCCACGGAGGGGCAGTGGCCGGCAGGCTGGCCCGGGTAGGAGGGTTGCATTCCCTCTTCTGAAGAAGCACAAACTGGCTGAAGGCAGGTTCCTTTCCCAGTCCCCAGCACATGCCATCCACCAGGAGCCGTGACAGCTGTTCTCCAGATACATTTGGCACAGGAAGCAGTAGGCAAACCTAGTCGTGAGTTTGGCCAGGGTCATCAGTTACAGGTTGCTGGCAACATACCCCAGAGCAGTGGGTGTGGCTAATGAATGTGTCACCTTTGAGCCCAGAGCCAACATGCTTCTGGGCAGAGGCACTTCCTCTGGTCTCCTTTTCTTTTTTTATTTGTCTGGGTGTTTTCCCCTGCATGTATGGTGTGTATCATGTCCCAAGAGGCCAAAGGGGGCTGTCCAATGAGTGTGAGCTGCCATGTGGGTCCTGGGAACTGAACCGGGGTCCTCTGGAAGAGCACCCGGTGAGTGCCCTTTTCTTTTTATGGATTTCTCCATTTAATGTGCATTGGTTTTTTGCCATGTGTGTCAGGTTCCCTGGAACTGGAGTTTTAGACAGTTGTTAGCTGCCATGTGGGTGCTGGGAATTGAACTCAGGACCTCTGGAAGAGTCTCTGAGACATCGCTCCAGCCCCTCAGTGAGTGCTTGTAACCAATGAGCCATCTCTTGCTTTTGCTTGTTTTTAAAAGTTTTCAGAAGCACTGGGTAACCCTGGCCCCAAGCGATGCATGGTTGCTGTTCTCACCTCTGGCTTTATGTGTTATTTTTCTCTCTGAGGTCATTTCCAGGAGGTCCCTGGGGTCCCTGCCTCAGGAGCAGACACTCTGGTAATTGTCATCATGCCTGGTGTTTTGAAGGCATGGATTACACACAGCATTGTATTGTGTAATCTTCCTGTGCCCCTCACGCTGGCCTTAGATTCCTTATGCAGCTAAGAATGACTCTGAACTTGGGATTTATTTTCATGACTCTGTGTGTGTGGGTGCCCTCAAAGGCCATCAGAGGCATAAGACCCCCTAGAGCTGGGGGTTACAGGTGGTTGTGAACCTCTTGACATGGGTGTGAGGAACCGAACTCAGGTCCTCTGCAAGACCAAGAAGCATTTTTGTTTTGTTTTTCAAGACAGGGTTTCTCTGTGACTTTGGAGACTGTTCTGGAACTCACTCTGTAGACCAGGCTGGCCTCGAACTCACAGAGATCCGCCTGCCTCTGCCTCCCGAGTGCTGGGATTGAAGGCGTGCATCACCACCACCCGGCTGAGAGTGAATTTTTTAATTTATTTATTATGCATAGTTTTTTTTATCTGTGTACATGCTTGTACCCCAGGAGAGGGCATCAGACCTCATTACAGATGGTTGTGAACCACCATGTGGTTGCTGGGAATTGAACTCAGGACCTCTGGAAGAGCAGTAGTGCTCTTAACCACTCAGCCATCTCTCCAGCCCCCCGAGAGTGGATTTTTAATACAACATGCAAACCATTTTTTTCTTGTTCTTTCAAAACATGGCTACTTACTTAATAAGAAATAATTATTTCTCAACAAATTCTACATAGTATGTTCTAGACCAGCTTGGGTGACAAGGACTCATTCTTTCCCTACACTTGAGTAGATCTCGGGGAACCCAGGCTGAACCCAGGCTGCCAGACGCGGCACCAGGTACTTTACCCAATGAGCCATCCGTCTGGTCCCAGATTAAGCTTAAGAGAACATCCCAAAATGACCGAATACTAACTAGTGTGTTCTGAATCCCACGATGAACCAAAGCCTTATGTGTAACCTCACTCAGCCTGTGAATCATCACATCTGACAGCCCCAGACCTGCCACCCCCACAAAGCCTCATCCTCCCGCTGGAGACCCTGAATCCTCGCAACACCGGCTTGGGAAAATCTTTGCAGCCCAAGACGTCTCCTTACCAAGGCCAACCAAGACTGACATGTCTGCTCCAGGAAGGCATGGAGAAGGACGGGTGTGACACCTCACACAGGCGTGGGCTGCCACCTCAGCCTGGCTGTCCCTGCCCACAGGACCCTCGGGATCAGCAGATCTGACCATACACTGCACAGAGGTGAGACGGGATGCCACCTGTGGGAGCCCCTGGAGGGGCCACAGCCAAGTGATGACACGGCTATGGCACTGCCAGGGGGTTCGGGAAATGACTGTTTCGCACTCTACAGGATGTAGATCTGGGGACACGGCTAGCCCACAGCCCACTGACCGTGTGCAATTTTAACATGGAATTATATTTAGCACTGGAAAGATGTCTGCTTTAGAAAACAATGCGGTACCTGCTGGGAACCCCAAAACAGTCGGGCAAAAAACAGGAAACACCAGGAAAACAAAGGAAAAGCAAAACACCCTTGAAAGTGAGGGGAATACCCAGAACGCTAGCCCTCAGGTTCTGGCAGGGGGAAGGACAGTCCCAACCCAGCATTCCTAGGAAAGCCAACCTGAGGGGTCGAGACCCCACTTCCTAAGAGGGCTGCACAACCTCCCTATTCCCAGGACTTTAGGACAGGAAAGCAGGAGGTATTTGCTGCCAGTGGGGATGGTCAAGGACCACACACACACACACACAGACACACGAACTATGGTGCCACGAACTTTGAGGGTATGTGTAGAGACCTGAGGTATATACCCTGAGGCCCCTTCGTATCTTACTCTAGGACACTGGGCCTGGACTCAGAAGCCTTGAGATTGAACCTTCCTACTCTCTGAGTGACCTTGAGAAGACACCTCCTCTTTCAGAAACACACTCTCCCCCATGTCACCAGACACCCTCTAAACACACGCACGAGACGTCCCACAATAAATCACACAGAATGAGTAAGCCACACAAGAAAAGCAGCGGGCGCCAGGTCCTGGGCTCCTTGCCGTCTGTCCTGTTTTCCTCTTACGGTCAGCTGGACAGCCTTTGAATGAAGAGTGACTAAGGAGCGTGCAGCACCGTGGGTAAAGGGGAACTCCGAGCTTGCCAACTGTTGGGCCTCGTCCTTGCCTGGTGCCACCCGTATGTCACCTCACGGCTTTGTCTCCACACGCCTGGGAGAGCACGCGGCTCCATTTCATGGCTGGGAGGTGGAGGTTGGGCGGGAAAGCCCACAAATACCCAGCCCAAACACAGCGGCCCGCATCTGTAACCCTAGCGCCTGAGAGGTAGAGACAGGAGGATTGCTTTGAGATGGAGGCCAGCCTGGGCTAGTCTGGAAATTCTAGGTCAGCCTGGTCTACAGTCTTTCTCCGCCTGGCGGTGGTGGCGCACCCCTTTAATCCCAGCACTCAGGAGGCAGAGACGGGGGGGGGGATCTGGTCTACAGAGTGAGTTTCAGGACAGCCTCCAAAAACAAAAAGTCTTTTTCTTTCAAAAAAGCAAAAAATGCTTTGCATGTTGTAGTCTCCTTTCTCCTGTTCAGTATCTAGAGTCTTTTCTTTCCTTTTTTTTTTTTTTTTTTTGAGACAGGGTTTCTCTGTGTATCCCTGGCTGTCCTGGAACTCACTCTGAAGACCAGGCTGGGCTCAAACTCAGAGATCTACCTGCCTTTTTTCCTCCATAGTGCTGGGATTAAAGGCATGCCCAACCACTGCTTATCTTCTAAAGTCATTACCTAAGAGGAGGGAGGGAGGGAGGGAGGGAGGGAGGGAGGGAGGGAGGGAGGGAGGGAGGGAGGGAGGGAGGGAGGGAGGGAAATAGCCAAATGCAGTGGCACACGTCTTTTTTATGACTGTTACGTGCATTGGTGTTTTGTCTACATGTTTTGTCTGTGTGGAGGGCCAGAACTTGAGTCAGAACTGTGTGAGCTGCCATGTGGGTGCTGGGAATTGAACCGGGGTCCTCTGGAAGAGCAGCCAGTGCTGATGTCACACATCTTTAAAACCAGAACTCAGGAGAAGGCAGGCAGATCTCTGTGAGTTCAAGGCTAGCTTGGTCTGCATAGGAAGGAGTTCCTGAGGAGTCAGGGTTACAGTGAGGTGCAGCCTCACAATGAGACACACCTTTTGGCCTCTGTGGGCACCAATCACACACATGGTACAAAGGCACACATGCAGGCAAATACCCATAAACATTAAATAACAAAAATATTTTAATATAATATAATAAAGGGGCAGGTGTTGGTGGCGCATGCCTTTTACCCAGTACTCAGGAAGCAGAGGCAGGCAGATCTCTGAGTTCTAGGACAGCCAGAGCTACACAGAGAGAGTCTGTCTCAGAAAACCAAACCGAGGTAAATCTTCTAAGAGTCCTGCCATCTGCAAACTGATGGGTCAAATAGATGTAGATGGTGGCACCTGTGAGACCCTGGGGTGGGCAGCCCACCTGTCCACTGTGAGACCCTGGGGTGGGCAGCCCACCTGTCCACTGTGTTGCAGAGGCAACACCTGTCGGCAAGGAATCTGCTGCCAACAAGAGCCAGCCCTGGCAATGCTGCGCCCAGCCCAGTGCAGGCTCCAACCCCGATGCAGGAACTTCGATGATGGAGCAATGCTGTGTGTGCCGGCCCTGGAGGAGAGGGGCAGGCAGGTCTGTGGTGGCCGGAACAGCCTCCTCAGAGTAAGTGCAGGTCCCATGCTCACAGTCCTGGCCATGGGAACAGGAGTGGTAAAAGGAGCAGAGGATGAGAAGGCAGCCTTGGGGCTGGCACGGGCACAAACCACAGGCAGAATCAGACCTGTGTTGACTCCTGGAGAGAGCACTGTTTGCCATCTGTCTGAAGCTGTATCTGCCAGGGTGGCTGGCAGTCTGCCAGCCTCCTCTCATGGCACAGGACTGATTAGTTAGGAAACTGTACAATGAGCAGGGAGGTGGCCCCAGCTGGTGCGTGCGTGTGTGCGGTGTGCGTGTGTGTGTGTGTGTGTGTGTGTGTGTGTGTGTGTATACATACACACGCCTGCCTCTGACCACTACACACAGCTTGTTTCTCCGCTTTGAAAGTTGGGAAATTACATCTCTAGCCACCCCTAAAGTCTCTTGGTGCACTTCACCCTGAGCGAACCACAGGGATGTGAATCTGTCGGTTCCCATTGGACACTTGTCCTGCCTCTGTGCTTCTGAGAACATGGCTTTAGCTTCTGGAGCTCAAACACTGAAGTCAAAATTTCCAAACAAACTCCTAAGAGTCTCAGCCCTGAGCCTTCTTTTAAACTTATATGACAAAGACCCACCTCAGTCAGCGAGGCTCAAGAGACCTGGTGGGAACAGAAGATAGATGCTGGCTTCCAAGGGATGCCCACTTGAGTCACTCCAGT